ATCAAATAAAACTCAAGTTTCTTACTTTCTCCAACGATAGCCTTCAGTCCCAGTTGCGGCATGATGCGTTGCAGCTTAAGCTCCGACGGTCAACTGAGCCGAACCCGACCTGCTGGAGCGTCTCAGGATCAGCACCACACTTCCTGTTTCAGGCAGTTTCAAAATAAAGGCTTTATTACATCATGGCAAATGGGTGGAATAACTTTAAGGGTTTAAAAATCACTGTTGATCTTTACGGAGACAAAATGGTGTGTTTTATTTTGTTTGGAAGGTGATCCCACTGTGGAAATCCTGGAGTGCCTTGCATCTTTTAGTTTCACCTGTTTGTTTGATTTCCCTCTTGTTATTTTAACATCATCCCAAGACCTTTTGGCACATCTACTTGTCTTTGTCTGCCTTTTACATTTGGACTCAGTCTCTGTGTACATAGTAAACACCAGGGATTCAGCATGTTCATTTCATGCTTTTATTTTGAAAACCAAACCAACTTTTCGATACTTTTAGATTCTTAATAGAGAATTGATATTTCAATCCAAAAGACAGTAGTGAATAAAAATAAAAATTCCTGAAATGGGAAAGGACCTGGCAGAAGATAGTGGCCGTCTGTTAGAGAGACCCAAAATCCTGATTTGGGTGACTTTGGGGTAATCATAAAAATATCATGAAATATACCACAATTCCCATTTTGATTTAACACGTGGGGGTGTACGCCCCTAAAAAATGTTGATTTTCTGAAGAAATTTTAAAAGTGACTGTCCAGCTGGCCAAAACGAAAAATGAGCAGGCCAATTAAAGAGGTATTTTACAATGTTTTTCACTGATTACGTCGTGTTGAACACCGCACTCGCAATCTCATTGGCCAGGACCAGAAATCACATGAGACCATCTCTCCATCTCACCGGTCCGAATCCCTTAAACCTGCTGAGTATTACCCAAGTTAGGAACTTCAAAGGACTTGTTTAAGCTGGTGATGGGAAGACTCGCCTAGACTCTACCAACATACGTCTGAGCGTTATACCCTTGTTCATCCATAAATGTCTTCCCTGAGTAGCCATTAGCAGTGAAGGAACTCCTACAGACACGCCCATTAACTGTGGATCTCCTCTTTTTGATTCTGACTCTTGTCACTGGTCTAGGTTAATTTCTTTTTTTTTTGTGTGTGTGTGTGCTGTCTGGTTGTGAAGCAAACAGAATTGATGTCTGAATGCTGGTGACAAGCCTTACAGATTTACTCTCAGGTGGAGCATCAAAGCTTCTGCTTTTAATGTCACGCCTGATACTTAAAACTTTATTTTTGTTGTTTTTGCATGCTTTGTAATTCCGACCAGACACGGAGACAGAGGTGAAAGAGAAAGGAGGAGATGGGGGTGGGGGTTCCCACAAAAATAAACTATCAATGATGAACAGAAGGAGAAAAAAAGAAAAGGGACACACAACAATACAACAGGAGCAAGCTATAACTGCATCAACCTGATGAGGAAATATAAAATCAGAATTGTTTTACTGAACAAATGATAATAAATCACAGTGCATTAAGTGCCAACCACAGCCTTAAGACATGTGTTGAAAATGACCAAGTCCATACTTATGAGAGCACCTTGTGAGCACCTGTGTGCGTACCCGCGCATGTATATGAAAGGTTTCTCTATAGGAGTGTCCAATAGAGAGTGTGAGGGGCCACAGATCTGCCCTCCAAAGATGTGTAGGACATGGAAGGAGGCCCAAATCTCAGAGATCCAGGAGATGCCCCAGAGCACAGGAACTCCAGGGAGACTGCAACCAGAAAAAGCCCCTGCCCCCCTCAAGAGGCACAGAGGATCGCCCCAGGGAACCACAACCAGCATCTGGTAGAGTCCCGGGGGAAATCAGCGGCAAGCCCAAAAGCCCGCCCGCAGCCTCCCACCCCCGAGCCGGCCGAGCCCGGAACCCAGCAACTCAGGACCCAGGGGCGACCAGCCCCACTGGGGACCCAACAGAGCCCAGGCACTCAGATCTCACCGGGCAGCCACCGGGATTGATCAGGCAGACGCCAAAAATATTAAACCCCCTGACCCGGGTGCCACGAACACTCAGGCAGACCAAGGCACCACACTCCACACCAAGTGTGGCAGGGGGAGGGGAGGCGAAGATGTACAACAGCAAAAGAAGTCCCAGGAGAGGGGATGAATCAAAGGCCCCACCTGACATATACAGCCATACACAAACACAGTCACACACTCCCTCCCTCAAGCTCACACATACACACACATCCTAAGACTTACAAAAATGCATGCCAGACACCCACTCATGCTCCCCATACACACCCTGTTCACTCTGGTCCCGGTACTGCTGCACAAAGGGTACAACCATCACCTGTTACCAGAGTTAAACCATTTCTGCTGGGGTGCTGATGAGCAGGCTCGCCCACCCAACTAACAGAACACGTCGATACACACGCCACCGCGTAGAAAGGATGGCAAATGCATTTTCTACTATTCTTCTGGCACGAGACAGGCAGTAGTTGTAGCATCTCTTGTTTCTCTCTAGATTTTTACCTGGATATGGTCTCATAATGTGGCGTTGAAGGGGGAATGCTTCATCTGCCACCAGTGCGTGTGGCATTGGACCCAGGTGCTCTGAGTCTTGTAGTGTGGTGTCTACAGGTATGCTCAGTGTCCCGGCCTTTAAGTGTTTCCCCAGGGGAGACTCTGACAGTATGCCCCCATCACTGTTTCTCCCATAACCAGCCACATCAATAACTCTAAACATATAATGAGCATCTACCACAGCTAGAAGGACAATAGAGTGGCTGCCTTTGTAGTTGTAATGTTTAGAGCCAGAAGATGGAGGCGCTTGCAACTCAACACGCTTTCCATCAAGAGCACCTATAAAGTTTGGAAAGTTCCATCTTTCGCTGAAACCCTCTTCAGTGGCGTTCCAATCTTCCATTGTTGGCTCTGGCATGTATTCAGGCTGCAGCACACCCCAAATGGCCTGTGAGACATCACCCACTATTTCTCCAACTGTTGAGAAACCCTAACCCTAACCCAACTTCTATTTTAAAGTAAAATATTGATAAGATTATGCATTTTTATTCTAGTTTTGCAGGTGAGGAGGCCAAAAAGTGGTGGAAAAATCTAAGAGACACATACATGCGAGTCCGCAAATCTCCAAAAGAAAAAGAGTGGTTCAGCTGCTGGCGGGCAGAAGACTTGGAAGTATTATCAGATCACGTTCTTCCTGGAGCCGCATCTCAAAGAGCGAGTCACAAGTGGAAACCTAACAGCAGATGACCTCCAGCAAGAAGAGGAGATCATACTGACCCTGGAACCAGCACCAGAGGAGGAAGATAGCTCTACTGTTTTTTCACACAACCCCGATATGGTCAGTGACACCAGTGGTCCATCCTCCACTTATTTTTATTTTGTGCTCATTTTAAATATATTTTTAAACATTTTCTAAATGCTTTTTTATATTTTTACATTTTTTTTTGTGAAGCGCCTCGTGATTTTTATCTTGAGAGGCGCTATAGAAATTATATTTTCTTCTTCTTCTTCTCACTTGACCAGTCATTCCAGCAACCATCCTCAATTCAACAAACACACCAATCGCCTTTTCAAAAGTCAGCTCATGGAAAACGAAAGCGGCCTGCTGACAGCTTTGAGGCAACCATCCTCAACAGGTTCGACAACATTCAAGCCCAGCTGAAGCAGGGTGATGAGGATGAACTGTACCTTCAGAGCCTTTTGCCAGTATTCAGGCGTCTGACAGGAGCTAGAAAATCTGTGGCCAAGGTGGAGATCATGGGGTTGGCCACTTCACAGTACCGAATCAGCCCTTCTTCGCGTGACCAATGACATCCTGGTGGCTTCTGACTCTGGGTTGCCTGTTTTGCTCCTACTATTAGATCTTTCTGCAGCATTTGATTCCGTTGACCACAATATTTTGCTGGATAGACTTGAGTCATGGGTGGGGCCAAGGGGTACCTCACTTCAGTGGTTCTGCTCATATCTGTCAAACAGAGTTTTCAAGGTCCAGTTGGGTAATTGTTCCTCTGCATTCCTCCCACTTCCATGGGGAGTCCCGCAGGTATCTGTGCTTGGGCCTCTCCTGTTTTCAATTTAACCCCCCCACCCCCCCCCCCACCCCCCCACCCCCACCCCCCACCCCCCACCCCCAGGGTTACATTCTGAGGAAATATGGCCTGGGCTATCATATTTATGCAGATGATTGCCAGATCTACCTGGCTTTGAAAAAACCAGTCTCCATCTCTCTTCTGGACCAATGTTTGGCTGAAGTGAGGGTTTGGCTTGCCAATAATTTCCTTAAGCTAAATGATTCTAAGTCTGAGGCACTCCTGATGACCCCTAACAAAACAACACAAGTATCTTCTGATTTGGCCACTCTCCCTTTTGACCTCAAGCAGTGTGTTACCAACCTTGGGGTGAAAATTGATACACAGTTTTCCATGGGCCCTAAGATTAACGCAGTGGTCAGATCGTGTTTTTATCAGCTGCGCAGACTAGTTTGTTTAAAACCGATCCTGAAACGAGCGCACCTGGAATCCGTAATCAATGTTTTTATCACCTCTCGACTGGATTATGCAAATTCCATTTTAATTGGTTTACCTGCCTCCGCTCTTAACAGGCTTCAAGTCGTACAGAACGCGGCAGCCAGGTTTTTAACAAACACTCCTAGGAGAGAACATATCACACCTGTACTGGCGCAGCTCCACTGGCTACCCGTAAACTTTAGGGTCAAGTTTAAAATCCTGACTTTTGTTTTTAAGGCCCTGAACGGTCTGGCACCGGATTACCTGTCGGATCTTGTCACTAGGTATGTGCCAAACCGGGCGTTGAGGTCTGCTGATTGCCTGCTGCTTCGTGTTCCATTAATGAAATACCAAACGCGGGGGCAGCGTGCTTTTGTCTACACTTCTCCGACACTCTGGAATGCACTTCCTCTTTCGGTGAGGCTGGCACCATCCCTCCTCCGGTTCAAATCACTGCTGAAGGCTCACTTTTACTACCAGGCCTTTTTAAATCCCTGACTTTTATTATTTTATTATGTGTCTTTTTATTGACTGTAATGATCTGCCTTGTTGGGCATTTTATTGTTGACTCTGTATTGGTTTATATTGTGTTTTTACTTTTTATTCTGTATAGCACTTTGGTCGGCTGCCATGCCGTTTTAAAATGTGCTTTACAAATAAAGATGGTATGGTATGGTAAAGTGCTCCACAAAACTGAATTTGGAGAGGAGTGACATTTCTACAAATTTATGTTTTTTTGTAGTCCACCTGTTCTACACACAGCATAGTCTGTGTATGTTTCTCATCATCTCTGGAAGCGACCTCCCACAACACTGTGATGTTATATATACATTTTTTTCAGGCTAAATGAACCCAAGAAATCTGCTGTCAGACTGACTGTTGCCGCTACAAATGGCCCAGACTAACATGAAGCCTTGCAGGTGTAGTAAAGGTGAATATTTTCTAATCATCATGCAATATTCATTACAGTCTTTGAGTTTTAACATCATCTGTGTTTTTGTTTCATAGCTTATTGCTACACGTGTGCTGCTGCTGCAAGCTTGGAGCTAGATTACATCATGACATCATGAAGGAGGCTACTGATTCTGGCCCTGTGACACTTGGTGGTGACGTGTGAGCTGATTCACCTGGTAAATAACTTTTACATTAAATATTTTGTTTTTGCTATCAAAAGTAAATTAACTAATAACCTGCATTATTGCAGGACACTCAGCAAAATACGGACTCTACACCATGAGGCAGGCACACGTTAATACTCTATAAGAGCACATAAGGTGAGCAACACCACATATTATTGTTACTGTACACTGTCCTGGATTTGTTTTCTTTCTGCATCTCATCATTAGCCTGGCTGATCACCTGATAACTCATGTCATCTGGTTGTGACAGCATGAGGATGTCCTCACACACCTGTAACCTATCAGCTCATCTGGCAGAATAGAGAGAGAAGAGACAACACCACATCTCCTGTTCCTGGAAAGCCTTCAGCCATCCTTCGATGACTGAGAACCTCCATCAGCTCTGTCTCCTGTCTGCCTACAATTATTATAATAAATATTGTGTTTGACAAGTTTTTTGTGCTGCCAAATATCTCATTTTGATTCCAGTTTTTATATTTTAATGGATATTTATAAATTACATTAATTGAATTATCACTCATTTCGGCCGCTTGTATCCGTAATCTCGTTCTTTCGGTCACTACCCAAAGCTCATGACCACAGGTGAGGGTAGGAACGTAGATCCACCGGTAAATCGAGAGCTTCACCTTCTGTCTCAGCTCTCTCTTCACCACGACAGACCGGTACAACGCCCGCATCACTGCAGATGCAGCACCAATCCGCCTGTCGATCTCACAGTCCAGTTTTCCCTCACTCGTGAACAAGACCCCGAGATACTTAAACTCCTCCACTTGGGGCAGGACCTCATCCCTGACCCAGAGAAGGCATTCTACCCTTTTCCGAATCAAGACCATGGTCTCTACTGATTCTCATCCCAGCTGTTTCACACTCGGCTGTGAACCGCTCCAGCGAAAGCTGAAGATCACGTTCTGATGAAGCCAACAGGACCACATCATCTGCAAAAAGCAGAGACCTGATCCTCAGGCTACCAAAACAGATGCCCTCCACACCTTGGCTGCGCCTAGAAATCCTGTCCATAAATGTTATGAACAGAATCGGTGACAAAGGGCAGCCTTGGCGGAGTCCAACTCTCACTGGGAACGAGCCCGACTTACTGCCGGCAATGCGGACCAAGCTCTGACAGCGGTCATACAGGGACCTAACAGCCCGTATCAGAGGGCCTTGTACCCCATACTCCTGGAGTACCCCCCACAGGGCCCCCCGAGGGACGCGGTCAAACGCCTTCTCCAAATCGACGAAGCACATGTAGACTGGTTGGGCAAATTCCCACGCACCCTCCAGGATCCTCCTAAGGGTATAGAGCTGGTCCAGTGTTCCACGGCCCTGAAGAAAACCACATTGCTCCTCCTGAATCGGAGGTTCAACAATCCGACGGACCCTCCTCTCCAGAACCCCTGAATAGACCTTACCAGGAAGGCTCAGGAGTGTGATCCCCCTGTAGTTAGAACACACTCTGCGGTAGAGCCCTGCACGGGCCTAAAATCTGAGCCCGTGTCCGGCCCGGCCCGAGGGGGTGGAGCCCCAGCCCGACCCGGCCCAAAAAGGTTTTCAGGACTCTCTGGCCCGACCCGAGCCCGACTTTTTTTAACCAACTAAATGAAATCAAAGTGCGTCAATCCTGACCAATGTGTTAAAAGACGTGCAGGATCCGATCAATTTGTTTTTCCCTCATTTACCGTCACGGAGATAACGGCGCACTGGCTCCGGTGTTAATCAAGTTAAATTTGATCTCTTTCCAACAATTTTCACAAGAAAACAAAACAATCAAAAGCAGGGCTTGTGTTGTGTTCACCGAACAGTTCCCGTATTTGACCGTTTATTTTGACGGAGAAAGAATAGAAAGAATCACCCCGACGCATGCAGACGAACTGACATTTTATTTTACGCACAGCGCAGGGATCGGGATGAGTATTATGGAGTCGGCAACTGATGTTGAAAAGAAGCACAAACAAGGCCTTCATGACACAAAAACCAAAGCAAGGCAAGTCAGACATTTGGAGGAGTTTCTCCGATCAGGTCTCTCTTAGAAAAGCGACCTCGATCACTGCCTGATTACAGAGGAGAATAGAATATGAAACGGCCTTGATTTCATTACCCCTTTAAGCACCACACATTAGCTCCTTTATGTATTTTTTAAGAATTTTATAGTTTAAGTAGCGAGGAGTTATTTGAAATCACATACGCCGATGTGTCACCCGTGATCCTGGTGACGCATCGGCGTTAAAGGGTTAAAAACTTTAACTTTTAAAGCTTAAACTCTTGAGTGATCCTGTGTTCATGTGTTCGTTTGTTTTAAAGGTTAACTTCGTTTGTGGAAATATGATTGACTTCGGTTTTAAACACCTTCGTTGCGGTTGAACTTTTAACTAAGTTTTAACCAGGTGTTTTAATAGTTGATCATTCGTCTTTTAACGTTAACCTTTTTGAGTTTGTGTGCGTTGCATTGTCTTTAAAATGCTCATCGTCTGTTTTGCTCGTTTTTGGAACCTTTTTTATAACAATAAAACCCTTTTAATATCCACTGTCCAGTTTTTATGTTATCCCCATCCTTCACATTTTACCATCTCATGTCGGGGACGTAACACACCACCCCGGTTTGCCAGTCCAGTGGGACTGAAGAAGAAGAAGAAGAAAAAACAAATGGTTAAAAATATATTTAAAATGAGCAAAAAATAGACAATTGTTATTAAAAAATGTTAAGAAAGAGAGAGAGTGAACAGGAAAGAGGGAAACCAGTGTATCCTGAGGAAGGTGGAATAGGTGGGGAGAGCAGAATAAAGAGAGAGAGGTGAAGAAGGTCATCCAAAAGCCAGCTTGAACAAGTGAGTCTTCAGCTGCTTTTTAAAGGAGACCACTGAGTCCACTGGTCTCAGGCTCAGGGGGAGAGAGGTCCAGAGTCTGGGGGCCACAGCAGCAGATGATCTGTCACCTTTGGTCTTTAGCCTGGTGCGGGACAGAATGGGACTCAGCTTAGCAACGTTCCTGAGATGGAAGAAGGAAGAGTCAACAAGAGAACTGACATGAGAAACCAGGGTGAGAGCTGGGTCAAAGGTCACACCAAGATTCCTGACAGAAGGTTTGGTGAGAGAAGCAAGCTGACCAAGAGAGTCTCTGACTTTGGGAACCAGCTTGTCTGGGGCACAGATGAGGATCTCAGTCTTATCTTCATTCAGCTGAAGAAAGCTCCCACCATCCAGGTTTTGATAGAGTCTAAGCAGGTGTGTAACAGCTGCAGCTTAGACATCTCATGGGGCTTAAAGGAGATGTACAGTTGGATGTCATCTGCATAAAGATGGTAGGAGATCCCTTTGAAGGAGCTCAGGATGTGCTGAAGAGGAAGCAGATAGAGGAGGAAGAGCAGAGGCCCCAGCACAGAACCTTGTGGGACACCATGGGTAAGGGAGGTGGTGGAGGACCTAAACTTGGAGACGGCCACAGAAAAGGAGCGGGAAACTGCCCAACCCCATCCCAGCTCTCTGATTGGCTGAGAGAGTTCAATCATCTTCTGGCTAAATGGAAGTACACACCCACACATGTGATACATCAAATTGATTGTCTTGGTCTAATGAATCCATCCATCCATCCATCCATCCATCTTTCCATCCATTCATCCATCCAATAAACCATCTAACATCCATCCATCCATCATTTTATCCATTCATCTATCCAATAAACCATCTAACATCCATCCATCCATCATTTTATCCGTCCAACCATTCATCCATCCATTACACAATCTGAAAATATGTTAATCTATCAGTTTCAGATATCAGCAAATGTTTCTAAATTCACAGTTCAGCTAATTGTGAAAATTTTACTATTTAAACATTCTTACTCAAATGCTAGGTGTTTAAACATTTCAATGGTCTAGTTTTTAAACAGTGTTCAAAGATTTCAGTTTTCTGTTTGCTGTTTATCATCATCATCATCATCATCATCATCATCAAATTTATTTCTAAAGCGCTTTTCAAACAAAGTGTGATTCAAAGTGCTTTACAAAATGACCCCAGATTCCCATAACAGGTTAAAAACATTAACAAACATATGCAAGCACACGCACACGCACACGCACACACACACACACACACACACACACACACACACACACACACAAGTAAAAATTATATTAGGCTGAGTCCAGATGAGCCAAGTATGGTAACGCAAGGAAACGCCATCAGAGGAGCCGTCTGTCCCGGCAGCATCAGGTCTTCCACACTAAGTCAGGGCGCTCAGTGGAGGGGGGAGCATAGACCCCCACCTATAGAGCCCCTATCTATTTAGCATTTTCTACGCCATTCTTCACCTACATTATGAGCTTGATTACACTTTTTGGTGATTTTTGCTTCTACATCTTTAAATACATTCAGCTCATTTTGACAGTTTAGCTTAGTTTCAGCTTCACTTCAGCAGCTTCAGCAATTAGTTTCTGAATTCGGCTTATGCTACTCATTTCACAGTTCAGCTAAATATAAAAATTAAACTGTTAAACTAGTTCTACTGAAATAACAGGTGTTTAGAAATCTTTGCTGTCAGGGAAACAGAATTCCTTAAAATTAAGCAGTTATTAGTGGTCCTAAGGTGACGGCCTCTAATGTCCAGGTTTACAGGAGTATGTCCTCTAGAAGCAGCGTAACTTCTTATAACCTGATGTGTTTACATTAACATATTATTCCAACTGATGTCAGGCAGTTGGGTCTTGCAGACTGTCTCATTTCCCCACCGTGGTGATTTCCCTAATTCAGCACACACTTATTTCACTTTCACATCCTGTTTGTGTGAAATTGGACTCCATGTGTCATCAGGTCACAACATCGGCCAAGTTAGCATCTAAGTACTGTTTTCAATCCTTTTTCGTTTTCTCTAGTAAACCTTTGATCTCACACAGCAGACGGGTTTCATCTTTAATCTTCAGGACACAAAACGAAGCTCATTGTGAGACTGGGGTTTGTGGAGCATGTCCCAGCTGGAACACTTTCACTTCATCGTACCGAGAGAGGCGAGGCACATCTGTTGTGAACAGTGAAATGAAAGTGAAGCTGAACCATTTCCTCTGCTACAGACGAGTTCACTGAAATCAAACAGTTTCAGAGATGGATCCAAACATTCAGACAAAGTCTGCCCTTGATTTTGTTACAACTCAATTAATCAAAATCAAATTCACTTGATTTATCCGTTAGGATCTTCGTTCGCAGTCAGAGTGTCAGCACAGCACATTAGAACAGCATCAACACACACACACACACACACACCAAGTAGTGTTTCTACGGTTATATTGTGATTTCTTAGTAAATATTGTATTTGGTGAGAGATAAACTTTATTGTATTTATCCTAGTGGATCTATAATTAAACGGATAAACTAGTAGTAGCACGTCCAACGTCAAAGAGAGTAAAAAGTTATTATCAGGAGAGGGAGAATGTTTAAGTGGTTAGCAGCAGTGTGCTAGACGATGGCCCCAGGACTGATGTGAGGATATGAGGATTGCTGTAAAGACTCTGACACTAGTCAGTGACTCGATGCGACCTGCTGGGTTCCTTATATAGGAAACTGGCTTCTGATTGGCTAAATGAACTGACCTGTATTGGAATACTGGTTATTGGAATATTGGTTTACTGTGTGAAGGTCCTCATTTGGCGCTATATAAATAAACTTGAACTGAATTGAATTTAGTGCGCTGAACTGTTGACTTGCAGCAAGAAGGTTGCAGGTTTGAACCCCAGCTGCCTGGTCATGGCCTCTAAAAGTGTAGAAAACCTGCTCGTTCAGGCCTGAGGCTGAACTTACAACACACACACACACACAAACACACACACACACACACACACCAGCACTGAAACCACTGAGTCATTCTATCCTGCAGACGGCGACAGCTATCTCTCCCTGGAAGCAAACCTCACCTTTCCCACGTTCCTCTAATTAACCCTGTCATGCATGAATTATGACATCATTCATATCAATCTTTAGGTATGAATGAAACAAAATTAGACTAAAACATTTAATTTACAAATATGTATTACATGTCCACCTCAGTGGACAGCATGCGTTCTGACCATGACACATGTTGGCTTGACTCAGCAGAGGCAGGTGGAAGGGCTCAAATGCAACAACCAAGAAGCTGTTGTGAGTCCCCTGGGGGTGGCCACTAGCATGAAAGGGTTAAAACCACGGCAGCGTTAAGCTTCAGCCTTAGAAGTAAACAACTGTCCCACATCACAATGACATGCTGGTCCAGAATCCGCTCAGATAGATTCTGACCTGACTTGGTCATGCATGCAGACTGCCTCCCCCCGCAGGGTCGTGACCTCACAGCGTGGGCCTTCAGGATCATGGGCCTCAGGACAGTTCTAAGAAACAGGCTTAGTGAAAGGAAAGAGGAAGAGATAACGAAAGTGAAAGCAGTCCAGAAAAGTGAAAGTATTTCGTCATTAGCGAGCCTCTCTATAAATCCGAGAGCTGCTGGCTGCTTCACACCATCAGGAGTCCAGAGCCACAGCACACACAGAGGTGGAAACCTGCAGCATCACGATGACATCAGCTCTGATGGGTCTCCTCGCCTGCCTGCTCGTCGTCTCTGCACAAGGTAAAACACTTCCTGTGTGGTCGCATCTTCTCTCACCTCCACGCCTCACCTGAGGAGGTGGTCTGCAGCCTCTCACCTGTCAGATGTTTCTGTTCGTTCCACAGCGCAGCAATCCAACAGGTCCAACAAATGCAAGTGTTCCAGCAGCTTACTGGCCAGATTCAACGCCAAGCTCATCCAGGGAGAGCCGCTGGTTCATCAGCCGAGTAGCTTCTGTCCTCTCATGGAGATCATGTCAGTAAACTGTCCTTTCAGATGTTGCATACATCCTCAGCTGCTCTTCAACTCGTTCCCTTCCATTCTAGCATCACAACTAAACAGGGGAAAGAAAAATGTCTGGATCCAAAGTCACAACTTGGAAAGTTTATTCTGATGAAGAAACTAAAGTAAGTTGGACCATGAGGATGCTCTCACAGCAGCTCCAGGTTTTCCTGACAGCTTATCGTGTTTCTTCAGGCACAGAGAGGCTGGAGCCGCACACCTGACAACAACTTCTGCTCAGACCTCCAGCTCAGACTCAACCAGATGCCACGTGGCTTCCAGCAAATAGACCCAGCCTCGACCTGCAGGAGAGGAACAGAAGCCCGGCAGACGGATCAGGACCATTTCCTTCCGAGGGAGACCCACCAGCACCACGGCCGCTTTGTGTTGCAACATTTTTCATCACAGAAAACAAAATGTTTTGTTTTCATATCTCGTGTTTTGACTCTGATTTCCATCAGCTGTTAGAAACTGGTTCCAGTCTGATCTCCTCTGGAGTTCCTGACATGCTCGGAGTGCCAAAACACATGAAGGAGTCAACAACCAGATCCTAAAAGTACACCAGATGGACCATGTCTTTTAGATGAATGATCATTCTAGTTTGACTGAAACTGTTTATTTTTATATAAGTTTAGCTAAACTAATCTATTCTTCCAGAATCATCCATGTACAATCAAACTAACTCAAAAATACCAATTCTTTCACAGACCAGGAACTTATTTTCACTTTAGTTTAACTTCATTTTTTACTTTAGTTTAACTTTTATTTCATCCAATTTCTCACGTTGGTTACACACAGGGGCGGATTTAGCAATTTGGGGGCCCAAGGTGAACACAGACATGGGGCCCCTTACACAAAATTTTCGACAGTCTTACCTTTAACTGGATTTGTGAAACTCTCCCCTCTTCTGACACGAGTTACTTTCCCTTTTTATTAGTCCTCCTCTTTTTTCCTGTATTTCCCTTTGAGCGCTTTCAATATTTGCTCTGCTTTCTTCTTCCTGTCAGGGCTCCTGTGCTTCAGCTTTAGTTATTTATTTTTTCTATTTTCCATTTTGGTCTATGGTTTCCTCCCTTTAAACATTTTCCATTGTCTTTCCTTTCTGCTTCCTTTTGATGTTTACATCGAAAAACGACGTCACTTTCAGAAGTGAAAATAAAAGCTTTTATGAAGCGAGCTGCTTCGTTCTCTTATTGGAGCCACTAGGATAACTCCATGTCATGCTGAATGTTTTGACTATCGCTTTGAGTTTTTACGAACGCTCCCGCCTCTCTTCTTCTTATTTGTGGTCTTATGGGACTTGGCAAACAACAGTTTGGTGCATTACCGCCACCAACTGGATTGGAGTGGAATGACTACCAATCACTTCCTGTTTGTGCATCGCCATCTTAATAACCCTCTTATGACCATAATTATAACAGGGCCGTCTGGTATGTTTTTAATCTTATGGCTGTAAAATTGTAATAAAAAGTGCAAAGTGTGTGTAACTTTTTCAGAACAACCTCCGTTTTCAGTGTATGGTTTGTATGTAGAATTTATTTCTATTAAAGCCTTTAAAAAATCAGCTTAAAAGTGAAAAAACCAAAAAACGGATTTGATTTTTTTACATTTATTACTGAACAGGAACTTCAAAATTACTGGGCAACTTTCATCTGTAATACATCTATTCTTAAAAAGTGTGAACCTTGGTATCTTTTTTAGCAGTTTTTAAGACCATTTATTTTTGTAAACTTTCAGACGTTTTTATTTGATGTGGTAGACCCTGAAGCAGTTTCTCTCCAGCTGCAGGCAGAGTCCTGCACACCTCACACCGCCATGAGGTGCTTCTCTGGCACACCGTGCACTGCTATACCAAAAATATTTGTTTTAGCAAAAGTAATTATTTATTGTAAAAAGATAAATAATGCTGGAATGATGCTGAATCTTACAATTAGCAAATAGTTGAGGGTTGTTCAAATAAAAAAATAAAAAAATAAAGACTGAACAAACGTTCATATCCTGGTTCACCGGAGATCTGTCCTTCTTCGTGGTCACTGTCTTCAGATATAAGCCTTCTGGGACACCTAACAGATCGTGTTGATTTTCTTTGAGGCATTTCCATAATTTCATGCTGGTTTTTATGCTGATTAGCTTCCCCGTTCCGTTATCCGCTTTCACCGCGGCGCTGCGCTCCGTTTCAATCAGGCTGTACAGCAGGATTTCCCCTCGTAGCGATATTTTCCCTAACTCTGATTGCTTCATGCTATAGATCCTTGGAAAGCTGCTTTTATGTACTTTTAGGAACCGTTGGAATTATTTGAATCTGATCAGACATTCAAAAGTTATAAAACGGAGCATTTTGGACAACAAACTCAGCACGTCTCTGAATCTGTGTTGTGATTCGGTGCGCTCAAGATAGGGAATCCCGCTGGCTACCGTAATGTATTGTATATGCATGAAAAGCCCCATTTTTAATCTTTTAAGCACTTTTGGAATTTTAATGATATCTTGAACGGTTCAGGGATTATGGTAATGAGAATCATGTCCAATCCCGTCAGCGGCGACAGGTTGGTAATAAGAATATTGTGGCATTAACAGAGGGATGCCGGCGGTCAGGGCAAGGGGGCCCCCCCAACACAAGGGGCCCCCAGGCGGCCTCCTACCTATGCCTAATGGTAAAACCGCCTCTGGCAACACATTGGTTAGTTCAATGAACAGTTGTTCTTAAACTAAATGACCTGTAACACTTAATTCTAAAATGTAATTTTGAGTTAGAGTTACTATTTTAACTCCGACACTGGTGTCGGCTATTCACCTCTAGAGGAGTTGGTTTTTGGCACCAAATCAGAGTCAAAGTACCAACTCTTCACAAAGTTCACCACCAACTCACTAGTGCGCTCATACATCTCCTAACTTTGAAAAAGCCAGCGAGAGAGGAAGGCAAGGAATGAAATCCTGTGTGACCCGACTCAGCACTAGTGTTGTGCGAGTCATGAACGAACCGTTCAGTACTCGAGAATCACTTTACTGACTCGCGAATCCCGATCTACAACCCGAACTGACTCATTAACTGACTCATGCCTGTTCTAATTTCATTAGTAGAAATATTTGTGGTTCATCCTTAAAGCTGTTGCATGAAACAGGGAGTTTGTTGAAAGCGTTTTCTCATCTTTTCTGGGTTGCAAGCTCATGAGTTCACAGCACGGCGTTTCTAGCCTGTTTTTATTCAACCCCAGCACCCCTAAAGTTAACATTTAATAAAACATTTATATCTTTTTATTTTCACTGTTTCTGCTGATTTTGAACACATCAGTAATATATAACAAACAAACCACAGGAATAAATATTAGGTTTTAAAAACTAAAATACAGCAAATCTCCCCGTCTCAAAAATGGTTGGATCCTGCTCACCTTTCCAGGCTCTGAGCCTTCCTGATTGGCTGATACGCTGCTGTTAGAGTGACCAAGGTTCCTGCTATTTACATTACTTTCTCAGGCCCTGCTAACTGAGACACCATCAGCCATTTTTGACTGTCTCCCATTTCATCTTTGAATCTTGTATGAACTGACTGTGAGGCGAAAAAAGCGGCTGTCAATCAAGCTAGGAGGCGGGGCTTTGACGCAGGTCCAGAGCTTTCGCCGCTCACAAACCTCCAAACCAAAAGGAAACGACAGAGTGATCCTGGACCAATGGGAGATGAGTTATAATAAAGACTGAAGGGTTGAAGCTGCTCAGGTTCCTCAGTGATCAGACCGGCTGCTGCTACAGAAGCCCGTAAAGTGCTAACACAGACACTGTGCTTGTGTTGTTTCATAGAAAAACCCTTTAGAACTGTTAAAATCATTTAATCAAAGCCTTGATTATTTATTCTGAGATAAAAAGTCAGAATATTAAGTTTAAATCTCACTTTTATCAGAGATCAAAGCCAGTGATTGTTGTTTCCTCTCCCCTATATCTGCTGTAGGAGATTGGCTTTATTTTTGTTAGGTTTTCAAATTAAGAAGAAAAAGAGAAAAACTATCTAAAAAGTTTGGGTTTTTATTTCAATAGGATGTTGATATTGGTGGAAAATTAGGTGAAAAGAGGTTGATCTAAAATTATTACTGATACTTTTAGGGTCATTCTATTGTAGAAACTCAGCAAAGGTTTAAATTTGCTTCGACTTCAGGTTTCCAAGTATTAAAGGGCATTTTCCAACAATATTTCCACCGATTGAGCCTCTTTAATCTTTAATCTGCACACATTTTGAAACTACAACACCTGGGCCAGTGGTTCCCAACCTGGGGTCTGTGATCCATTTGCATAGCGCTGCTGGTGGTTCATTACACCGCCCTCTACGCAACAGCACACCCCCCGTTCGCCCGTCGTCTTGGGGTGTGCGCGGGGGTTCGGGGGCCTGCGGGCCACCTTTTGAGGAACACTAATATATACGGTACTGTGATGTGTAAAACTGTAATTTGATTAGTGACAACTGTGTTTTTGTTTTCTCTCATGAATGTGAAAATGAAAGTGTGTTAAAATGTAGAAAATGTTGAAATTTGTCTTGGCTGACTGGGTAGATATCTGGGTGCTCAGCACCCCATAACCTCTGATGCTAGAACCGCTCCTGGTTCACAGTAGCATCGCTTTGCTAACGGCACATTTGAGTCACTCACCCCCTCCCTCATGGGTTTCAGCTCATAGGAGTCACCCAGTGGAAGCTCGCGGTTCCACCCCCCTCCCCCCTCGCTCTCAGCGGCTGCGGCTGAAACTCAGTTTCATGTTTTTGGAAGGAATTCAAATCCTTTTTTTGTTCAATAATTAGAAATCATCATGCAAACAATATATTGTCTAGTGTCTCCTGTAGGATTAACTACATACTAGAATCAACACTGTTTGCTATCAGTTGTTAATTCTGAGAATGACCGAGCAGATTAGCATACGAGCTTATATCATGTGTAAATATCCAAGATACTTATATAATCAATAGAAGCTCATACACTTATTCACTTGGTCTATTTTTAATCCAAGGATTAATGTTTAATTTAAGATAATTAAATTTAATAGCAAAAGTTTATTTTGAAACAGAAGTTAGGAATCTTTGATTTTTCAATAACCAGAAATAATTATACCTTTCTGTGTTTCATTTCAAAGAATGAGGCAAGTTTAAAAAATGAAGAATTTTATTACTAACATTTTTTCAACTTAACGATTTGAATGACAATTATAAACGACAATTCATGGATGACAATTTAATGACAATTTTTAACAGCTTTGATATTAAACTTGTTTTGAAAGGCAAACCTGTGGCTGGATGAAAGCTAGATTGAAAATACGAGTTTGGATGCGTGAATGGATTTCTCAGAAGGTTTCTTTCAGAGAGAGGAACGCGTTCTGGGCTGGAAATGATGGTTTTGCGGCTAACTGAGTTGTTCACTTAGAGAAAACAGCATCAAACACATTCCTGTGTGCTACCTCACCCAAACAGGAGACCCTCTTGGTGGATCCGGAGATCAGGAGGATGGTGTCCATCAGGGACGAAATTTTGATTTCAGAAGTGGGGGGGACACAGCAGGCTTGTGCGGATTTGGGGTGGGGGGTGTTATGTAAAGACCCCTTGACACGTCATGTGCCCATCTCAATAATTGTTCCATCCTCAATATATATATATATATATATATATATCAAAGTTAAAAAATTAACAACTCTATTATTATTTTTATTTATTATCATTATTGAAGTGCAGTTTTGGCTGTTGACAATGGATAGGCCATTGTATTTATTGTTTTGGGTCTTTTTTTATTGTTTTTGGTGCAACATTTTCTAACAGGGAGTGAGATTCCTTTTTTATTTAATTTTTGTTTGTTATTTTTATTCATTTAGAAGTTCTGGTTCTGGACATTTCAATGTTAAATGAAGGTTTCTTTGTTGCATTTTAAAGGGTGTACTTGCATTATTATGATATATTAACATTATATTAGTGGTTATTTTGGTCTAGATAATGTTGACAATATCGTTTATCATCAACAATTTGTTGGACAAAATATCGTCCAGCAAAATGTGTTACTTTCCCAGGCCTAGTCAAAAGTATAAAAATTATTTATACATAAACGGTCCTCCTGAGATCTGGCCGTTTGTTCATTTGCTGTGTTAGAGGACATGCTGAACTAATGTTTTACACATGATCATCACCCTAACATTTGAGTGTATAAAAACATATTAAATATGTTTTTTCCCTTAAAAGTGTTTAAGCAGTTGTTGCATTTCAACACACAAAAAATAAATGGAAAAAATAAGATAAATCTAATGAAAAGTGTACATCTTTGACATTAAGCTTAAAAAAATCTGTTGACGATGATGATACTGTTCATTTTTCAGAGCTTTTTAATGTGAAAATATACATTGCAATAGATAAGTTTACAATAAAGTTAAATGATAAAAGTTTTGAAGTTACACTACTACTACTACTAGTAATAATAATTATGATGATAATAGCAATAATAAAAAATAATAATTATAATAATACGAATAAATTGTGTCTGA